CAATTACAGGCTGTGTGGTCCTGGGTCCTGGTCACTTCTAATGGGGGATTTTTGGCACTGACCACAGGAGGCAAAGCTGGAGGGGGAAGGCCCCTCCTCTGGGTGTGGAGAGCTCTGTTTGGGAGGGAAGAGCCCCCTCTCCTCTGACCTTAGAGCCCCTTCTCCACAGGCATACTTGCCTTCTGCTGCTGTCTCTTCTTGACTCTCTGGGGGATCATCTCCAGGGTGGCAAACTTGGAGATGCCTCCTGCCAGGGTCAAGGACAAGGTCAGTGAGGCCATTGTCTCCTCACCCCGTTTCTTCCAAGATCCCCTAACCTCACACCCTGGACAACTGACCTAAGTCAGTGGCTACCAGTGCTACTCTGTCCTCTAGTGTGTTCTGATTCTAGAACAATCCTAGCTCCAGTACTCGCCCGATACGTGGCCTTGGGCCTGTGGCCTGGCCTCCCTGAGTCTGTTTCCTCATCTGAAGAATGCGAGAACTCCACCTACCTCACAGGGTCTCCAGAGGACTCAATATCATGTTACTGTCATCATTATTATTCTCCTCTCACACCTCCAACACATTCCTTTCCTCCCTTCAACCTTATCACCACCCTGTGAGGCCTGCACCACGGGATCATCACCCTCCATTTTCCAGATGAGGAGACAGAGGCCCGAAGAGGGGCAGTGATTTTCTCAGAGGCCTACAGAGAGGCAGCTCCCATTTCCAGCCAGAGGTCCTGCCCTAGAGCTGCCTTTACCCCAACCCAGCCCCACCGCTGACCAAGTCCTGTCCTCTGGGCTCTCAATGTGTGTCCAGGCCCCCAGCCCAGCCAAGCCATGGATGAAGAGGGACAGGGGTCTTGGGGACTTGGCTGAGTAGCCCCTGCCTGCTCCAGCCCACTGGAGTCTCTACCACCCAGGCTGGGCCCAAGGCCAGGCCAAAGCTTCACCTCCCCCAAGGTACCCCTCAGGACATTCGTCTCCACAGCAGTGTTCTTCATCCACTCAGAAGGGGACTGCTGAGGTACCATCTCTGACTGACAGAGTAGGGAGCAATCGGGGCACGGGGTGGTAACACCTTGTTTCCTCTTTTTGAAGCTTCTGACTTCCATTCAGGAAGGATCCTCTAAGAATCCATTAGTTCCCCCAAGCTCTTATGAGGTATCTGGGACATATGGCATGGCCAACTAGACACCCAGATGAGTCTCCTGACTGTGACTGATTAGCACTGATGCCTGAGGGGCAAAGTAGGAAGTCACAGAAGGCACACATATCTGTCCCTGGCCCAGCCGTTTGCACCCAAGGCTAGGCGTCTATTTGTCCACCTGGCCCATGGGATTCCCCTGCAGCACCCACCCTGGTGCAGGCAGGGTGCCCTCCTCTTGGAGATGGAGTGAGTACTGGAGGAGCAGCAGGGCCCTGGCTTCCTGAGGACAGGCCGGGCTTATTTAGGGAAGAAAGAAACCCCCACTGATCCCCAACAGCCTGGAGGAAGCTAAGTGCCAGCAGGATGGACCCCATGGAAGCCAGACACCTGCTAATTCTGCCAGCTCAGCACCCCCTCGTGGAACAGCCCAGCTGCCACCACTGTATCCTATGACCAGGGCCGTCTGCCCTGCAAAGTGTTCCTCACCTGCTCATGGACCAAACAGATCCTTCTTTCTGTTAATGTAAACAAGACTGGAATTTTTCAAAGATTTTAAGTGAGAAATAAAACCACACCCTGTCCGGTAGCCCTCCCCCCACTCACCCCTTCCTTCTTTCCAGACTTCCAGCCTCCACTCTACCTTGATAAGTAGCCTCCCTGCTCAATGAGTTGTCTTGCTACAAAGTTTTTGAAATTTTCAGGAGCTCTTCCTGAGGGGAGGAGAAGGAAAAGAAGGAAGGAAAATTTGAGGGATTGATGGGAAGGGTGTGAGCATAAATACTTTTTATTTGAGAACCCAGAAGATCAAAACTGTCTGCATGAGCATTTCCACTGGGATCCTCTGAGCTCAAAGGGCTCCATGGGCCTGGGGAGGGGAGCCTTCATGGTGGTCACCTGGGGTCTCCATTCTCAGTTCTTCTAAGCAGCATTATTTTGACCAGTTTGGGTTCCAACTGGACATACAATTTGTTGCTACAAAGTAAGCACTCAAAAATCTCCAATTTGGCTCAACCCAATCTCTGACATTGAAGAGACCCAAAACAGAACTGGTGGCCTAAGTTTCTAGGGAGGCTTAGAGGCCCCACCCCCAGCTCAATCCCTGTCCCTGAGGTTTGCTGCCTCCCAAAAGGTCCCAGCTGAAAGAGGGGGCAATGCCAGTCCTCTGGGAGATTCCTCACCCACCCTGCTCCTATGGAGAGAGGGCTACCCACCTGGAAACTTCTCCCCACGTCTTCTTCAGCGGGCAAATGGCATACAGTGAGCAGAAGCTCCTGAGGATCTGGCATTCCCGCCTCCCTGCACACCATGCTCACTGGACCCACGGCTCTGCTCAGGTGAGTTCTTTGTATACCTGCCTGCCACCTCTGAGCACCCTGAGTCCTCTGGAGCCCTGTGGGTGCTCCCAGTATAGTCAGGTCGGTCCACAGGGTGTTGGACCTGGTGGGCCTGAAGAGCCTGGAGAGGCAAGAATTCCTTTTCTATTTTTTCCCCTTCAGCTTTAGAATGTATTTGTCAAATTTTTCACAATTTTGTCACATTATGACTGAGCCTGAGCTCATTTTCATATAGTGAAGGCTATTTATGTTTCTTTTTCTATAAACTGTGGCTTCATGTCTTTTGCCACATTTTCCACTGTGTGTCTGTTATTTCTCTTATCAATTTCTAGGAACTCTTTAGGTATTAGGGATGTGAGCCCCTTTGTAATACGAATTGCAGATAGTTATTCCCAGTTTATCATTTCTCTCTTCTTTTGTTAGGATTTTTTTTTTTTTTTTTTTTTTTTTTTTTTTTTTTTTTTTTTTTTTTTTTTTTTGTTGGTTTGGTGGTGTTTTTGGCCTGGTGTGTTTGTTTGCTTGTTTTTCTATGTATTGTTAAGATGTCGCTACTCCCCAAACTGATCTATGGATTCATACAATCACAATAAAGTATGTCAGCAGATATCTGGTGGACATTAACTACATGATTTCAAAATTTCCATAGAAATAAAAGTGGCCAAGAATAGTCAAGACAATCGTAAAGAAGAACAAACTTGGAGGGCTTACGCTACCAGATGGTAAGCCTTAGGATAAAGCAACAGTAATCAGGGCAGTGAGCTATAATAGTGCGAGGACAGACAGAAGGAGCAACAGACAGAGTCCAACTGAGACCCATATATATGAACACTTTGTATATAACAAAAGAGGCACGCAGAACAATGGGCGGAAGATAGTCTTCTCAGTAAATGGCCCAGGGTCACTGGTTACCCATATGGGAACACAATGAATCTTGATTCTTACCTTCCATCATAAACAAAATCAATTCCAGGTGGGTTTTAAATCTAAATGTGTAAGTTTTTTTTTTTTTTAATTTAAATATTTATTTTTGAGAGAGAGAGCGCAAGTGGGGGAGAGGCAGGGAGCGAGGGTGACACAGAATCCAAAACAGGCTCCAGGCTCTGAGCTGTCAGCAGAGAGCCAGATGGGGGGCCCGAACTCATGAACCACAAGATCATGACCTGAGCCAAAGTCTGACGCTTAACTGACTGAGCCAACCAGGCACCGCTAAATGTGTAAGTTTAAAACAGCAACATTTGTAGTAGATAATATAGGGGAATATTTTCATGACCTTGGGGCAAGCACAGGTTTCTTAGGACATAAAGTACACTAAGTATAAAGGCAAAAATTAATAAATTGGACCTTATTAATATTAAGAACTTCTCTTTGTCAAAAGAGAGTAAGAAGGCAAGAACAGAATGGGAATAAACACTTGTCATATGTTTATCTGGAAAAAAGCATCAGATAAGATATGTAACTAACTCACATCAATTAATAAGAGAGACAATCCACAGAAAAAATAATGGGCAAAAGATTTGACCAGATATTTCACAGAAAGATAACCAAATGGCCAAAAAGTATATAAAAGATTATACAACCTCATTACTCATCAGGAAAATGCAAATTAAAACCACAATGAAACACCACTACACATACACCAAAATGGCTACAATAAAAAATGTTAACAATGCCAATGTTTTCTTTAATGTGTATTTATTTCTGAGGGTGGGGGGGAGGGGTAGAGAGAGAGGGAGACAGAATCTGAAGCAGGCTCCAGGCTCCGAGCTGTCAGCACAGAGCCCCATGTGGGGCTCAAACCCATGAACCATGAGAACATGACCTGAGCTGAAGTCGGACGCTTGACTGACTGAGCCCCCCAGGTAGGCTAACAACGCCAAATGTTGATGAGGACGTGAACAACTGGAACTCTCATATGTTGCCATGGTGTAAACGCATACAACCACTTTCAAAAACTCTTTTGTAGTATCTGCTAAAGATGGACTTACACAAGGACGCCTGGGTGGCTCAGTTGGTTAAGTGCCTGCCTTCGGCTCAGGTCATGATCTCACAGTTCGTGGGCTCAAGCCCTGCATTGGGCTCTGTGCTGCATTGGGCTCTGCATTGGGCTGGTGCAGAACCTGCTTGGGATTCTCACTGTCTCATCTCTCTCTGCCTCTCCCCCACTTGTGCTTTCTCTCTCTTTCTCTCTCAAAATAAATAAACTTAATAAAAAAAGACGGACTTATGCATACTCTATATGACCCCAAATTTCCACTCTTAGGTAAATACCCAGTAGAAATGCCTGCATATGTTCACCATACAAAAGAATGGTCAGAGCAGCATTATTTGGTAATTTTGTAACTGGAAACAACCCAAATGTGCATCTATAAGAGAAAGGATAAATAAAATGGGGCATTTTAAAATAATGGGATGCTATACAGAGATCAAAATGAACTCACAGCCACATTAAAAAATGTTTGGAACTTTACAAACATAATGAAAGAAGTCTGACATAAAGGAGTATATTCTGTATGATTCCATTTAGATAAAGTTCAAAAACAAGCAAAACTAATTCAGAAGTTAAAATATGTGTTATCCTTGGGGAAAAGAGGGCAGTGACTTGGGGTGAGTACATGAGGGAGGCTCCTGGAGAGTTGGTAATGTTCTATTTCTTGGGGGTACTGGTTACCAAGTGTGTTCCCTTTGGGTAATTTATTAAGCTGTATACACTTATGATTTCCATACTCTTTGGTATGTATGCTATGCTTCAACACACAGATCCAATCAGTTTGATCCAGAATTTTTTTTCCCATTTGGTAGCAAGGCCAGATGGCATAGTGTTTGGTTCAAGATTTTGGAATTGCATGAACTTGATTCATATCCTGGATCTAACCCCTGCCTATCTTGGAGATCTTGGCCAAGTTACTAAGTCTGAGCTTCAGTTCCTTCATGTGGAAAATAGGCTTATTATGCTACCCTGAGCATAGTTATGAGGGGATTAAATCCTCTCAATAAATATTAGCTCTTGTCGGTCCTTACTGGTCTCCGTTCTATGGACTGTGGAGAAGATAGACAGTGACCAGTGGAAGAGGAAGGAAAAGGATGAGACTCTAGTCAAGAGACATTTTCTAGATGAAGACTGAGGGGGAAGATATGATGGTGAGGTGCAGAAAAAGAGTCTAAAGGCTTGGCTCCACTAAGGACTCCACTAAAGACCATTCCCTGTCTCTCACCTCCAGCCCACCTCTAACGTGAGAGGGACTAACCAGATGATCTCTAGCTGGTTATCACATTGCAGAGTTGGGAGGGCAATGCAAATGCCATCCAAAAGCCAAACACAAATTCCCCTGTTTGATCCAAACTCAAACACAAAGGCCCAGACTCAGGAGCTAAGGGAGGCAAATTCTCAGTGGTAAGACCATGGGTTATTTTTATGTTCTCCATGGAATTTTTTTCCTACTTTATACAATAAGTGTGTTGCTTACTCAGAACAAAACATGACACATGATATATCCATACCTACATATTTGTATCCAAATATCTAGAAAAAAAAGAACCCCTGATTATAGATGTGCTAGACACTAGAACCAGAAAACATCTGGATGGGGAAAGCACTGTTTCTGGTGTATAAGGTTCAAGCCAGCATAGCATAAACAGTGGTATGAATGACTGCAAATAATTCCTGCACATTTTTTTTTTTTACCTCTTCCCTTGGTTACCTACAGTTTCTCTTTTTCCAGTTAAAATTAGTCCAATCTTTTTTACAATATTTCACTTTGGTAATAAAATCCATGACCAAAGAAGGGGAATGAAAGTGTTCTCTATTCACTGTTAATTAACTTCTGAAGCTAGTCTGGATGGAATGATCACTTGTTCTAGGAAGTTGTCATAGGGAGCATTTACTAGCAATTGGAACAGAGATCCCTGCCGAGGAGAGGGATTTTTCTGGGGGAGTTGAGTACCTCACAAAACATAGGAAACCCTCAAGCCAGGTTCACTGTCAACCACAAGTATTTTCAGGTCTGGCCACATAGGACTATGGCTGGGTGTGTGGGAAAGAGACAAACTCTAGGAGTGTCAGATGAGGACATTCTAGGTATTCATGCGTTTACCCAGGGAGCATTCATTGTGTCTGAATCATGTGCAAGACACTGTGCTAAGAGCAACTGCCGCTAAGTCAAAATTAATAAGGTGTACCTGCCCTTCAGGAAACGCCTACTCTAGAGGTCCTGAACTCCTGTATTTGACTGCAATCAACATCCAGAGAGAGGAGAGGTTATAGGGGCTGAGGCAAATGAGTGGTTGGGATAATTGTTACTGATAGTGGAAGGCTGGCTGGGTCTGGGATTTTGGAAAGAGAAGGATCCCAGCAGAAGAGCAGGATGAGGAAGGGCAGGGGGGCAGAGGCATATGCAGGAGGAGTGGAGAGTTTGCTTAAGCAGGGAGAGTCAGGGTGGGAACCAGATTTTGGGGGCGGGGGTGCTCTGTGGTCATCTAAGACTGAGTTGGATTTTGCAGGGGCTGCAGAGTTGATGAGGGACTTTTGAGCAGGAGAGAGGGTAGGTCAGAGCCATATTTTAGCAGGGTTATGTGGCAGTGGTGGGAGGATGAATGGAACTCAAGAGTCCTAGAAATTAGTCTTTTCATTGTAATGCCATACAAGCCTGATGCCTGAATTCTGAGCCCTTCAATCTCGTAATCTGAGAAAGAGCTGGCCTTATTTAGAGAGGCTTTCTGCATCTTACAGCCAAGCACTGTGCTGCTTGCCAGCAGAAGTTGGTTTTAATCAAGTAAAGAAGACAGGGTGGATTTTCTTGACTGCCGTGGCTAGGAATTACATCTCAGGTCTCCTACAGTTTTCAGAACATTCAGTGTACTGCTCTGGACGCTCCTGACAGCGCCGGGGCGCCCCCTTGCTGTGAGGAGAAATGGGCTTGGAGGGAATACTTCCTAACAGTTTCCCCACTCCCGGTGGGGCGCTCCGGCGGCTGCGGGCCATCATCCACTCCCTCCTCGGAAAGGAAGTGAGGGCGGGGCCAGCGGGGCTCCCGCCCCTCTGCGTTGCCTTGGAGACCGAGTGCGTCCAGCTGCAGTTGAGGCTGGACTGGCCCTGGCTAGTGGTGCCTTCTGCAGGTGGGGCGCCAGCCTCCCTCCATTGGCCGGGTTCAGAGGGGATGGCCGGGGACTGCACCGCGCTCCTCGGTAGGCTGGCGGGCTGGTGGCGTGAGAGGAGCCTGCTGGGTCTTCTCAGCATACAATAGGTGCCTAATTAGCACGGCCAGAGTCAGGCTGCTCCTTCCCTCCACTTCCGCCTCTCTTTGTCCACTTTTGGCGGGGAGTGGGGGAAGGAGGGAGTCAGGGATCCTTCAACTTTGTTCAGCTCCAGTTTGGGGGGGTCAAGGCCAGGTTGAAATCCAAGATGACACCTTGAGCACTTTTCCCAGGAGAGCTTGGGAGAGTGAAGCACAAAACATTAACGATTTATTATTCTGCCCCACCAAAGTCCTCTGGATTTGCACACTGCGTGGCTGGAAGAGCCAGCCTTCTCCGGGAGTTCGGTTCTTGCCGGAGGTTTGTCTCCTTTTTGCTTCTTTGCCACTCCTTACTTTTTGCTTAAAATGAAACCCCTGAGGCTTGGGGG